CATCGGATTCCCTGCTTAGCGGGGAGCCTGCTTCTCCCTCTCCTTCTCCCTCTGTGCTCTCTCTCTCAAAAATAAATAAATAAAATTAAAAAAAAAAACACCAACGCAGAAACTTCTCATCTCTCACCACTGTCTTGGGTGGCTAGACCGGTGTGTGTGTGTGTGTGTGTGTGTGTGTGTGTGCGTGCGTGTGTGTGTGTGTGTGTGTGTGTGATAAGTAGCATGCTGTAGCAAATGAATGTACTAATCCCTGATCACTCCCATCACGGGTGTCCCTGGTTAATACTACTGGTCTAACTCCACAGCTGAGCTGGGCAGCTCATTACAAACAGTCAAGCCTCCAGTCCCGTCAGGGCTCTCACCTGTTTATGCCGTAATGTGTCAACTCATTTCACCCACCTACGCCTCAGTTTACCTGCAGTGGGTTCCTATGCATTTGGCACCTGAGTTGTTCAGCCAGTGCTAGTAAAGATATGTTAACTGAGGGGTCATTCTTCCCAATAGACAGCACATCAAAAGGATGCTTTTAAACCCTCACTCAACAGTATTTAGGAGGGGTGAGGACAGAGGGTAATTTAAGTCACTTTTTTTTTTTTTTGCTCAATAAACTTTTTTTTTTTGCTATGCTAAGAACAAGAAAAATGTAATTAAATTTAAATAACAAAAGCTGTGGCCTTAGAGAAGCTTTCAGGACTTTGGATCTCGGTCATTCTGTAAAAATATGTAGAAACCTTTCTGGAGACACACCTTTAGGTTATATACAAGAAATCTTCCCAGCTCCAAGTTTTAAAAACCAACGACAAAACAATAGTTGCAAATTTCTGTCTAACTTTTATTCATTTGAGAGGGGGCTTCCTATTTCCAACAGGGCAGTGCAAAGTTCATTGTCCTGACTTCCCTCAGCAACTAAAATTCTTAGTTTCATAATCTGTTTTAAATAGCACCTTGTTGTTGTAAACTGTTAGTTTTTTTTTTAAAGATTTTGTTTATTTGAGAGGGAGAGAAAGAGAGCATGAGAGGGGGGAGGGTCAGAGGGAGAAGCAGACTCCCTGGGAGCAGGGAGCCAGATGCGGGACTCGATCCCGGGACTGCAGGATCATGACCTGAGCCGAAGGCAGTCGCTTAACCAACTGAGCCACCCAGGCGCCCCTGTAAAGTGTTAGTTTTAAATGACCCTACGCTTTGATAAATATACCAGGCAGATGATCCAGGATGTAACCCTGTAAGTATAGCTCGAAGGAGTCCACCTTCCGGGGCCATGCCCCACCCTAAGCATGCAGAGTGGAGAGCAAACCCCATGAGCCAGCTCAGCACTGTGACTGGACTGGCCACAGGGCCGGGCCCAGAGGGCTGTCTGTCGGGGGTGGGGGGAGGCTGGGCTTGCCAAGGGAGCTGGCTAATCCGCTCCTTCCTGAAGTGCGCTAGGGGGATGGAGAGTGGGCTTGAGTTAAGTGTTTCTTTCATATGAGGAAGATGTGTTTTCTGTAGAAAAAAGAGGAACTCGAGATAGCCAAAGAGATATGCAAACAATAATCAGCAGTCATACTCCTTCTGCTGTGCTGTTCCGTGTGTTATTCCTGAACATGTAAGCGCGCACATATGAAAGGGGGTGGTAGTCAGTCTGAAGCCCAGGGAGGCTGGGACCACTCACTGTTTTTGAAGTCCCAGAATGTGTCTGTGAAAGGTGAGGAAATCCTAAAGCAGGACTTACAAAAATTAGAGTCTATATTGATACATAGATATAGATATGTGTATAATGCTTAAGACTTAAAGACACGATAACTTGCAGTGGACTGCATCAGGACATGGCATCTCAAGTTCAATTTCGAGATTTGGCCTAATTATGCTTTTTCTCCCCCCCCCCCCCCCCCCCCCACACATTGCCATGGTAGGTCTGTTGTAAGAGGTGTCAGGACCTAGAGCTTTCCTCAGGAGTATAACATTATCTTTCTCTACGTCAACAAATATAATTCTCGATCACTTCCGTTGCTGTACAGAGGTCCATTGTGTGTACGTCCCACCGTAGAGTTAAGTCCTGTTCTTGGACATTTCTTTCTTACTTTCTTTGGTAGCACTACGTGGATATTCTTGTACTTGCTACTTCTGATGTTTTCTTACTTCCTTAGGATGAACTTGGAGAGAGAAAATCGATGGGGCACAATGTACTCACATGGTTTTGAGGTTCAAAACTATTCTTTCAGAAAGCTGGCACTCTTGTTTTAGAAAATGAAAGCAGGTCCTCCAATGCCAGGGTAGAGTTCGGCTCTACCCCAGACCTCACTGCTTCTCAGATTCATTGTCATCAAGTCCCTAGTACCACACAGAGTGATGTGCCAGAGTTCAGAGGCAAGACAGGTGTAGTCAGGCATGGGCTTTGCCAGGGCTGCCAGAGATTCGGGGTGTAGACAGAGAAACTGGGAGGACAGGCACAGAGACAGAAGCCCTTCTCAGGTGTAGTCAGATGGAGCAAGAAGGGCCTCAGTGGGAGTGGCCGGCCCCCCAGAACAGAATGAGTTGAAGCTTGTATGCCACACTGGGGTCAGGGTGAACCCCACCCTCTAGCACTTGAAGAGAGCTGCCCTGAGCCCTCCTTGATTCTCAAAGTGTCCCCCACCCTACATGTGCCTCAGCCACCCCACTGCCCGCCTGCCCTTGGAAAGCCTCGTGCCACTTTGTAATGAGTTGTGGCAAAACCTGTCTATTCCAGTAGAACCACATGGTGAGGCCTCCAGAAAAAGCAAACCGATGAATGTAAAAGGGTTCTGTCACTTTGATCCCTTTTCTAAGTAGCCCACCCTCCTAGGCCAGCTTGCCAGTGGCCAGCCAGCTCCATGCTCCTGGCCATGCTCCCTGGAAACCAAACTCCGAGGACTCTGGACTCCCCAGCCCCTGTTTCCATTCAGAGCAAACTTATCCCTCCCTCTGCTTTTGCCCTAAATTTTCTTTTCAGCTCCTCGCCTGACATTTAACTCGGCGTTGCAACTCTATTCCTTAAAACCCTCTGCCCAAAACTGTCTGTGACTCAGCATGCCAGGAACAAGTAAATCTCATCAAAGGCTGCGCTCCTCACTGCCTGTCCCTGTCATTCAGCCTTCCCCTTGGAATTGCTCTCTCTCTCTCTGCCCCTCTTTAGCTCTGGAAATCCTGTTTATCTTTCTGGACACATCTCACCACCTTCTGTCTGCTTTAAGAAGCCTTACCAGCCTTCTAGCCTTCTGAAACCCCGTAGAATGTGATCATGATCCTTATTATATTCCACTGTGTCTAGTGGACAGATGGTCCCTGATGTCGGATGGACTTTCAACTTAGGATTTTTCAACTTTATGATGGCGTGAGAGTGATATGCATTCAGTAGAAACCATATTTGGAATTTTGGATGTGGATCTCTTCCTAGTCTAGCAGTTTGTGGCACAATCCTCTTTCATGATGCTGGGCACTGGCCACTCCCAGCCAGCCACATCACCACGAGTGTAAATAACGAACACCCTGACAACCATTCTGCACCCAGACAACCATGTGTTTGTCACTTCTAGTGCAGTATTCGATACATTACATGAGATACTCGACACTTTATTATATTTTCAATCTTGTTTTCTGTTTCTTTATTATTGAAATATGGGTGACACACGTTACGTTATTTTCAGGTGTACAACAGAGTGATTTGAGAAGTTGATTCATAGTGTAGCTACCATGTGTCACTGGACAACACTGTTACTGTACCACTGACTATATTCCCTATGCTGTGCATTTCATCTCCATGACTTAGTCATTCCATCACTGGAAGCCTGTATCTCCCTCTCCCCTTTACCTGTTGTGCCCATCCCCCCACCCCCCACCCCCTGGCAACTACCAGTTTGTTCTCTGTATTTATGAGTCCTTTTTTTTTTTGCTTTTTTTTGTTTGTTCATTTGTTTTTTTAGATTCCACATACTAGTTTGCACTTACGGTATTTGTCTTTCTCTATCTGGCTTATTTCACTTAGCACATCTTCTAGGTCCATCCATGTTGTCAGAAATGGCAAAATCTCATTCTTTTTTATGGCCAAGTAATATTTCATTATGTGTGAGTGATTGTGTGTGTATGTACACACAATATCTTCTTTATCCATTCATCTGTGGATGGACACTTAGGTTGTTTCCATTTCTTGACTATTGTAAATAATGCTACAATAAACATAAGGGTGCATATACCTTTCAAATTAGTGTTTTATTTTCTGTGGGTAAATACCCAGTAGTGAAATTACTGGATCATATGGTATTTCTATTTTTAATTTTCTGAGGCACTTCCATTTTTATAATAATATCTATCTTATAATAGATGGTATTGCCCAACTGTATGATGTTCAGTAGGTTAGGTTATTAAATGCATTTTTGACTTAGGATATTTTCAATTTATGTTGGGTTTATTAGGATGTGACCCCATCATAAGTCAAGGAAAATCTGTAGATTATACCGCACAATGGTGTGTGTGTGTGTGTCTCTGTGTGTGCGCGTGCATACTTATAATTATAGGTTCCTTGAAGCAAAGTCTATAACCATCCCTTTTCCTCTTCTGGGTGTTGAGAATCACCGGGCCTTGCGCTAAGGTACTGGTTCTGTGAATGAATGAGCAGTGAAGGAACATGAACTCATGGATGGGGGAAGCAGATGTGAGGAGCCTAGTAGAGAAAAATTCATTTGGTAGGAGTCTGGCTCCAGCTTTCTCTAAAGGAGGGCTTTATGGTCAACATTCTGACCAGAAGGGGGCTTAAAAGCACTTTATAGACAGAAGGAGACAACAACATTTGTTAAAATAAAAGGAGGCGAAAGCTGATGGAGATCAACAGAGAGGCACTCACCGCGTCAGGTCCCCTGGACATCCTTCCTAGGTGAATGTTTTCACTGTGGTTGAATTTAATGCTTTCTGTTGTGTTTGTGTCATGGAATGTTTCACATTGATTCAATTACATCTGCTTTTGAAAGAACAAGTATTAACACACATGTCACTTCTGTTTCTTGCAGGCAACAATGGTCCTGAGCTCTGCACACTTCTGGCTGGGATTATTTCTGGTGCCCACAGCGTGTTTGATGGAAGATGTAGCATGGAGAGCGTAAGTGAAGAGTGACGTAGTCACCCTAAGTCTTGCTCATCTGTCCTTGCAGTCACCTGTCATGAACCCTGGCCACAGGGTATTTCATGCTGTGGGACTTCAGAAAGAACAGGTCTCCTGCTACCTGCCAGCAACAGATGTTTATAAGGGATGTTGGCGGTTTTGGTTTCTTGTGGTTTTCTTTTTTTCTTTTAAACTGTGCTTCACCTTGATAGGAGAATATAGACAAAAAGGTGTCCCAAGACAGGCTGTGTGAAGGTCAGTAGGTATGGTGCTTGTACGTGATTTTAACGGAGGGTTTCTAAGTACAGATTCATTCCATCAGGTTTAGGAAGCATAACTCAAAACTCACTTCTCCTTGTATCTAAAAAATCAATGCCTAAGCGATCACAAATATAACCTGGCTTTAAATCCCAGACTTAAACAAAAATTGTGTATATGTAAGCCATTTCAAGTTAGAAAATAACTTGGAATGAAGTATTCTTCATTTTTCCAATAATTCACAGTAGGAATCCTTCAAACATAATTTATTTAGAGTGTCAGTGTACAAATCTGAGATTAATCACAAAGATGAAATTATAATGTAGGTTAAGTAGGAAATAATTCATGCTCAGTTTTGCTTGTATGTTTCAAAATATATTGTTTCCGAAATATCTTGTGCACTAGGTAAACTAAGCAACTAAGTTCCAAGATAATGTTAATTTTAATTTCATCCATGAGAAAGAGATGGAAGATTTCAAAAGAGGTAATATTGATTTTTGTTTGGGGTAGGCTGATTCCTCCTACAAATAGTTGCCAACTTCCCTGAAAATTGGATTGGTTTTACTTTAGGCAAAGCATAATTATTTTGGGGCCCTGAGGTAGAGAATTGAGACTTTAATCCAAACCTTTCAGGAAAAGACATCAGATTTCATTTTTATCTCCCCTTCCTCCCACATTCAAGGAAAATTGTTCTTGCCTGACAGTTAAGGATGTCTTTTGAAAAAGTCTTCATTTTGGCATTATCTTGACAACCGGTGATGCCTAATGCAGAGAGAGAGAGGAAGAGAGAGAATTGTATAGCACATATTTTGGGTGTTTTTTCTTTTCACTGAGTTTTGCAACTATTAGTAAAAATTAAATAACTCTATTAAATGCCTTGATTTCTACTACTTCCCTTTTATCTGCTAAAACTGTATTCTATAAATAGCTGAATTAGAATCCTTGGAAATGAAATTATTATAGCCAGGAAAGATGTGTTCTTAATCTAATAAATGCACTGAAACAAAATGCTAGTTCTATTATTTGTTCTTATAGCACATAGCCCAGTTGTGGCATGCTATATTACCTTGCTAAATCTCTTCAATTTTACATGACAGGTTAGTTTTAGGTAAATACAACATGATCCTGGCTACATCAGATCACTTTACAATTTATAGTGATTGAGAATAGGAATGTGATTATAAATTAATCTCAGCCTGTTTTAATTCAACTATCTTGATTAACGTCATGGAAAAAAAAATTGCGGAGTCTCTGTACTTGCCGAGTGAGACTTTAGCAGAAGTATCTTTCTACTATTTCAAAAAGTGGTTGCAGATTACAATGTCTCTACCTCCTCCCCAGTCTTCTGGATCTTTTCCCATCCATTCCAAGTAAAAGTTACCAGTCACCAATGAAGCAAATTATTCCTTCAAACAGGACTTGTTTTTGGTTTCCCCCGGCACTATAAAATTAGCACCCTTTACATTTTAGCAAGGATAAATCAAAGGACACTGCCTCCAGCTCCACCATATGGAAAAAGTAAAAGTCACTTGTTTCCGAGAAGCTTGCCAGCCAGGTAGAAGGGCCCATGCACTACGAAGGAGGTGCTGGTCGGGGGACCAGCAGAGGCAGACCCCGGGCATTGTCCTACCTGCTGCCTCCTGCCCAGGACAGGCCCAGAAAACAGCCCTTCCCAGGAGCAGACAGCACCTCAGCTTTGGGCTGAGCTGGAAAGGCTCCTACTGAATACCAGAGGCACTTACAGAAATGTACTTTTGTCTGGTTTTATTCGGGGAAGCCAGGGAGAATGGTATATATTGGCTCTCCCCGCCCCTCCCCCCACAGTATTTGCCCAAAGTACATGCGCAATTTGTAATACACATTTAATGTCTAAACTACAGTCACCTCCCTCCTCAAAGACAAGCATTTGGCAAGCTTATTTGGGAATTTTCCCTGAGATCACGGGGCTCGGGTTTTATCTTATATTATACTCCCTGCCTGAAATAGATGTTGTTGGATCCAGTAAATTCAGAGGTTTCTCCAGGACGTGGAAGCAGACTATGAGTTGCTCGCCTCCAGTGAGACCACCGTATGGGACTGTGATTTCTTTCTGAGCTTCTGCCTCCCAGAATGTGTTCTGTTTTCCCTTCCTGCACACTGGACAAAAACATGAGCCCTGATTGTCCACAGCCACCCTTCATTTGGTTCCAATTGTCAACTCTTTATTGAAACATGATGTGCTATGGCTCTCCTTGGACTTCCAAGGAGAGTTTTGAATGAAGTGAACCGGAATCCCGGGTCCACGAAGAGCCTGTGCCGTGACAGGGACGTGGGGCAATGTTTGCAGGGCGGTTGCATTCTCTCATCTTGCCTTGGGCCAATCTTACAGATCTCTTGTTTTGTTTTGAATTTTAGTGGTTGACTCTATTTTGAAAAGAGCTTTTAAATCCCAGCAGAATGCAGGCCCACCTTTTCATGTGTCTTTCTAGGAGTGCTTAGCAAAGTGAACTGGTCTCTTTCTGCATTCCTCCGCCCCCTTACTTTGCCCAGTCCCTCTCTGCCATTTTAGGACCCAGACTGTTCAGAGTCAGGGAAAAAGAAGAAAAAAGAAAACTTAAAAAAAAGAAACTCAGCATGAGGTAATTTAGTCATTTTTTCCATGAAGTCTGTTAGCTTTCTGCTTGAAGATCCATTACTAGACTATCTTAAGTCAGATTTGGACGCCATAAAGTACCTACTCCGTTATCCTGTTAACCATAATTTTCATGAGGGACCAAACTAACACATCTTTTACTAAAATAATTGATTGATTATATGTGATACCTGGCTAATGAGTATTTTTATTATGAGCATGAAGTTTAAATTGCCCAGAACTATTTTAATATCCTTTAGCTTACACACTTCCAAAATGTTTACCCATGACAGCATTCTTAGGTAAGCTGCTATGTACTTATTCTCATTTAGGAGAAATCTGTTAGTTGCTTTATAAAAATAATATAAAGCTCAAGGCCACTGAACACAGGAACCAGTCTCCTTTTATCTAACTGTATCTCATACTTTACCAGTCAGCACACAATACGTTCAGCAATTCCAGAATGACTTCATTTCCTTATTATAATCCCAGACAGGCAATTAAATGGAAATAAAAGGTAATAAGAAATTTCTGTATACAAATGAGTCTTGATTTAAAAAAAAAACCAAAATCTTTCTACCTGAACTAAGCTCATATGAAGCACATTGTATCTACATTTTCATCCACATTTAGAATTTAATGTATCCTTCTGACTTGCTACTTTTCCATGCAAAAGAAAGAGTCCAGGAAAAAAGTTTCCAGAAAAAAAAAAAATGAAAATCTAAGCCAATCTATTTATTTTAAAAGTCCCTCATAACCTGGAGTTGCTCACAGCTATCCCTGGAGGCTCACAGATGACTCTCGCATTCTGACAGTGGCCAAGCAACCCCATGTTGCCTCTTCTGCAATCATCTGGTTTCTTGGTGAGGGGTTAGATGGAGCAGCCCCGCGCCACTGGAGATAAGCCACTCATGGATCATGGGGTTCACTCTGTCACAGCTGTGACTGAGAGCAAGCCAAACCCCAGCTCCTGGTGAGACCTAAATTGCATGCCGGTGGCTAATGCTTAAAGACTGGCTTTTCACAGGTGGACGGGGCCAGGGGGAATCATTTATCTAATTAAGGCTTTATTAGGTAAAGGCTATTGAGAAAGCACTTTTGCATTGCTAACATTGCTTCTACCTCAGTGCCACACGCAGAAAGACTCACAGAATCATCCCCAGCATTGCCACCCAGCGTTCTCAAATAGTGGTCAAGTCCCCAGGCTAGCTCACGGGAGCTAGCCTAGTGGAAATTCTAAGAAATTGCTGAGTAACTCTTGGATACAGATGAATTTCGTCCACTGAGAACATGCACAGTGCCTGGGGGCATCAGCATCCTCAGATCCTTTCCTTCTGAGGTGATTTTATGTATGAGCCCAAACCAGCGGTTTTGATGCAGTGGGCCAGATTCTTTCTCCCTTGGGCTAAGGTATAGCTTTCCAGTGCCCTGCACCCACTGGCCCGGCTTCCTCTTCCTAGTCTCCTTCTTGATGATGCTTCTGTCACCCAGCCCAGAAGAGAAGTCCGAGGGCTGTTCCAGAGGTTAGTGAGCTCTGCTTGCTCTGTGTGGGGAGGAAGGGGAAAGAGGGGAGGACAGTGGTAGAGGGAGGAGGGTCTCAAACAGAGCACACACTCATCCTCAGGGCCGGCACACGTGTTCTCCTGGGGCCTGTATATCCGGGGTGAATCCTGCTGGAGTGGGGCTTGCCCCTCGGTTGTCTTGTTACCATTCTAGCCCCGTGAGCCCATGAGATGAAAATGAAAGTTGGGGGCCCAACATATTCGATAATACGGAACAGTGTAAATTTTAACATTCTTTTTGACTGTCTCCAGCAAAACGTTAAATGTTTTCTCATTTCTTGTTTAAATTAAAATTCCACAGCCTCTGCTTTGAACTGCGGTATTGTTATCACTACTGAGTCCCTGGACTCGGCTTGATGTAATTAAGGTATTATGTGTTAAAACCTGTGCGGCTAAGTTCTTGTGTTTACTTTGGGGGAAAGGAATGGCAGGCACATATACAGTGTCTTAGGACTAGTACTCCATTATAGATTAACTTGGAGTGTTAGGGGATGACTGGGTATTATCTTAACAGACTTTCTTCCCTTGAAGGTGGAGGGTGGGCGGGAGTAGGTCATTCTGAAACTGCTCACGAATGTTCCTACTACACTGTTCTCACTTCCTTGCAGAGATGCTCCGTGTTTGTTCGTATTCGGTCTTGGAGTCCTGGTCCTTAGCAGGATCTTCACATCTGTTTACACTGAAACAAATGAAAAGCTTTTCCTAATAAGGAAAACGGCCCTGTATTGCTAAGTTTGGAGCCTTTTTTTCTTCTTGAGTTTTTCTTTTCCCATTTCATACCCGTGTCTAGCCAACTGCCTTTCTTCAACTGGATCCTTTCCAACCAGTAGCTCTGTGTGTAGTCTCAATTTTAGGAAGATCCTAGCTCAGCCGCTTATTTGAACGTTGTAAGGTATTTTTCGTTAACCAGAAAAAGAGTGCAGGCAGCTCTTCCTACAGTTCAAGGGGAGTGACAGGGCCAGGCTGAGGTTTCGGCTGTGGTGGAGAGGCCAACTTGTTTTTGTTACTCCCTCAGTTGCTTTACTCTGTGCGGGCCCATGAATATGGGCCCTGGTGGTAAGTCTCTGCAAGAGACGGGTGGAGAAGCTGTGCCTGGATATTTGTGTTGACCCTAAATTTCAGGTGCAGGGTTTGGCTTGAAGAGCATGAACTCTAGCATTGTAATTCCCATTCCTGCTCTGATAGTGGCTCTTTCCTCGCTAAAAAAGAGAACAAACTGCTCACTTGGGGCTCTGAGATCACAGTAGGGGCCAGGGCCTGGGGACCTGCATACATCCACTAGGTAAGGATTTTAAGGTGTCTTCTGGGTTCTTAGGTCCTGCAGTGAGAAGCTTTAGAGATAGACCCATGAATATCTGTGAACCCCGGTCCTTGGTCTGAATGGCACGGGTCCTCAGCCAGATCCCCAGGCTTTTGGCAACAAGCAGTGTTCTTTGGGGGATGTGAGGTAACTTCAGAGGTTCATGGTTCAAGTGTGTTCTGCAAGACTTGGGATGCTTCCCAAGTTATGAAAGTGGAACCCTGGCCATACACCAGGACAGTGAGTGTTCCATGATGTCCAAAGCCACAGCCTCGGCCTCAAAGGGCATCAAGATGTGGCCCCAAAGGGAGCGACTGGTCTCTACAGCTGTGTAAGGTTCATGTGTCATGTGTTTTTTGTCTTTTCCTTGTGACACAGGGCCAAGCATACCTGCAAAAAAACGTTGCTGGAGGAGGTGCAGGAGCTGGAGACGAAGTCCAGAGTGATGGGGAAGGCGATGCTTCGGGACAGTAATGGAAAGAGGTAGGCCAGCTCTGGCCGAGTGTGTGGGGAGCACAAGTCCTCCCGGCCCTTCCCCCTACCTTTCCTTCCTGGCTTTCTTTTTCTCTTCTCGGTTTTCCATGCGAGCATGAACTGCTCAGTTTTAAGCACTTTGGTTATTCTCTAAGAATACTGTCATAGGGAGATTTAAATTACATTTTCTCAGTGGCCACATGAAATCTGGCCTGTCCCTGGGTAAAGCTGGGGTTTTTATTGGGTCCGGGTAAAACAACCCATACTACTTCCATGTAGGAAATAGTAGCAACACTATCCTGATGTGGAAAAGTTCTGTTTTGGTTATATTACCAAAGAGTATTTAAAAGCTAGGCCTTTTGATATCAGGGCCAATTATTATACTAAAGGATGAGTATCTACCATGAAGGTTTGTGTGCCAAATAACGCCTGTTATTCATGTAAATCTTGTTACGGTTCACAGCAAGTATACCTGGGCCTTTTTGTTTTCCTTTTCATGAATCATGATTTTCTGCTGGTGTGGTGAAAACGATCATGTGACATACGGGCTAGTTCACAGAAACAAATGCCGTCATTCCCTCCCCTTACTTGTGGTAGAACCTCAGCCGCCTCTTCCCTGTCCCTAAAAGTTGGGCATGTGAAAAGCTTTTGGTTAATCATTTTTGTTATAATGTTATTAGATTGCATTGAGTTGAAGCCCATATATGACCAAAGAAAGTCTACCTGGACCCAAGAACAGTTTAAGCATTGCTGTCTTAGACACATGGCATGTCTGGAAAATTATGAGTACAACTCTCCTATAAATGCTTCAAAGGAAATCTGTAGCTAACTGCCAGGGAAACAGAGATCTACAAGTTGAATACTTTTAGAGATTCCTACTATGTGTCTTGTTTGTATTCTGTTTATTCATAACTGTCTTTCAAAGCAATGAAGACAAAGCATTTTTCTTAGGGAAAGAGAATCCAAATTTTGAGAAGCATTAGGAATATAACTTTAAATAACTGCAGATGTTTTAGGAAAGGGGTGGTAGAGTACATAGTTGAAGCTGTGGTTTTTGTGTTTGTTTATGACATTTTTTAACAAGTGAGTCCATTAGCATTCATTACATGGCAGCTGTGCTTGTCACTCTAAAAAATAATCTGTCAACAGGACAAAAATCACTGTCTTCAATAAGCTGAAAGCCACGAGTGTGTGGGGACAGCGGCAGAGCTTGAAGCAGAGCTATATATAACCATTACACAGGGCAGCTCATGGCGAAGGCCTGCGCTATCCGTTAGATTATTTAGGCACAGTGCTTAGCACCTACTGGATTTTCAAGGACTTACAAAATTCTGAGACCTGAGGAAAAAAAGTGTTCATAGGCTCTAAAAATAGGGAGAAGCCTCTGCAAATTGAAATTCATAAAGACTTAAAACTCTACAAAATGCAGATCAGTTTTAGTAAGTGTTAGGCTTATTAAACACACCGAGTTTTAGCATCTTTGAAAACAACTCCCAGGGCCTCTTAGATCTCAAGAATGCTCACATACACACAGTAGCTGCTGAGAGATCATGGGTAATTTCTAAGTAAAATGAGAATTTCAAAGCCAAATTCTAAAACTCTTCTCCAACATTGGACAGGAAAACCTTGCCCCTCGCATGGTATAAGAATGTGCTTTACCGTGTTTGATCTGATGTGGGTCAGGGTCTGGTTCTGGCCCCGGAGGTTAAAACAGGGCCGGACATGGGCTGGGTAGCGTGGAGGCGTTCAGAGGAGGCAGCAAGCCACATCTGGCTTGAGAGATGAAGGGCTTCACGTGGGAGAGAGGATGGAAGAGAGGGCTTGGAGGAGGTGAGTAGATGGAAATGATGAGTGTGTGTTTCCAGCAGAGGGAGCAGCCTGTGCAGAGGCACCGGTGGGGTTGTGTGCCGTGGTGCAATCCCCGCAAGGGATCTGGAGCCTGTGTTTGAATTCTGGCTCAGCTACTGCTTAGCCATGTGACCTTGGACAAGCTATTTCATAGAGTGAGAAGACTATATGAGTTGGGGGAGGGGGGCTGGGGCTCATGAAACAATGCGCACAGCACGGCATATTGCCTGACCCGTGGCTGGAGTGCAGTGTCAGCTGCTGGTCTTCAGTTTGGCCGGAGGGGGTGTGAGCCCTCCTTGATGTTGATAAAAAGAATGGAATTTTTAAAACTCATGTATCCTGTTCAAAATTCACTTTTCAATGTTCCAATGAGTATCAGAAGATAATTAGAGTTTAAATGTGGTTTCCTTCCCTCTGCATTTTAAAATCTGTTTTCTGATCGCTTTGTAAATGTCGCGACTTCCTAGTTGTACTAATGGCATGTGAATGTGAGTGTGCCCCCCCACCCTGTGACTGGGTCTCCTCTAGCCCCAGTGTCCTGCCCTACTTGTGTGGTCCCCTTCTCCCCACGTCCTCGGAGCACCCAGCCACCACCACCACCATTTGTTTTTTTTCTCCCTCCTAATTGCTCCGGATTTTCCGGGTGGTCCCTTTGCAAACTAGATAGTGGCGACTGGCTGCTCTGATTTTTGTCCTGCTTGGCCTCACAACTGTTCGTTTATCACCTTTGTTTGCTTCTTTCACACCTGCCTGGATTCCTGTGCACCCCTGGTGCTGGTGAGGGTGGGGGAGGGTAAGCCCAGGGATGGGGTGGGGGAGGGGGATGGAGGTTTCTTCAGCAGCGTAGGGATTTAGAGACGCCCTCGTTGAGGGAGCCTGAGTACTTTTCTCTTCTCACACCTCCCTGCTCCTTATTCCCCACCCCCACCGAATATTTCTGTGTGCTTGTACATCTCTCTTTAGCTGTTAGGCTGGCACACGGTGAAAGCTCTGTAAATATTTGTTGACCGACTGGAACTGCAAAAGCTCAGTGAGTTGGTGGTGAGGAAGGGAGGGTTAACCTGCATTATCCGTGCCCGTTGCGTCGGCTCACGCAGAGAGTAACCACAGAGAGATGCTCAGAGTTGCAGGCGGCCCTGTCATGAGGGGGCCCTTTAAGTCATGGCTTCGGAATAGAGCTAACAGAGTCACAGATGGACAGACGTGTGGGACGTCAGCATCGCCTACCCATGCAAAGATGAGTAGGCTGGGAGCTGGTCCTCCCACCCGTCCTGCCTTCCAGGGCCTCTGCTCGCCAGGTGTCCTCAACATCCCTAACCACAGGACAGCTACGCGGCTCAATGCTGAAAGCCTTCCTAAAGGCCCCTTCAGGACACTCTGCCAAGTCATAAAACCTGGGTCCAAGTCACTGGCAAATGTTCAAGCAGTTTTTCTCAGGAATGTACTCCTAAGAAAAAGAACAAAAATTTTATGCATTAATCTAAAAAAAAAAGCCCTTTCGTGCCAAATTTACAATTACAATTTTGAAACGGTAGCTAGAAATTCTAAGTGTCCCTCTACGCCCTTTATCCATTCAATAAAACACTTCAACTTACCATTTTATTGATCTTGTCGAAGCCCCAAACTCTTACATTATTTTTGGTAAACATGAAAATTTGATTAGCTTGCTCCTGTACTTTTGTGTTAGTAAAACTTGTCTTCCAAAATGAATGGGTCATTGATGCATAATTAAACCTGTGCTCCTGACTTAGAGAAAACAAGCTGATAGAGAGAAAAGACAAGATCTGCAAATGGGATATCCAGAAAGTACAGGGAAATAAGAAAATGCTTCAGGTGGCTAACAGAAATGTTTTTATTTTGTCTTTTATTTTGTCTCTTTCTGATGACACAATTTTTCTTGATATGTTGTCTGTGTACCTCACAAACACTAGACACTTGTTAGTATTTGTATTGTTCAGAATACCTTTCCCCAGACCATCTTCCCCAAAATCTTGACCAAGAGATATCCCCACTGTTCTGTGTGTGGAATAAAATCTGTCAGGCATGTCAGTACTTTGCGGGTGTCTAAAAAAATGAGCTAAAGGGAAGAATTCTTTCTTTCAATGTTTTGGTAATATTTTCTCCCTCTCCCTCTTTATTCCTAAAATGTAACTCACGCAAATTTTTTCCCTCTGGTGGAAGAAAATCTACCGGTGGTCATTTACCTTTACAAATATAACTTTTAAAAATGCCTAAGATGTCATGTATGGGTGGCAAACTAAATTTTTTCCCCTTAAATTGTTTTTCTTCCTTGGTGCAAGGTAAGAGGGTGTTCGGATGTTCTGGGTATTACAGCAGTCAAGAAGCAAGGTGAATATATTTGATGAAAACATCTAGTTTTCCAGTTATACTTAATCTGACTAAACCACAAGGAGACCCTCGTTTTGTTTTAGAATTTCTTTCTGTTCATCACAGTTGCCGGGGGGCGGGGGGGGGGGGGCGGTAGGGTAGGCCCTGGGCTGATTTTCTCCAGTTTCAAGGTCAAGGAGTTCTGGTTGCTACCCTTGGCTTTCACCAGCAAGGGGGTGGGATTCTCTTTCACGTAAGTGCCTCCCTGGAGTATAATTTACTCTGTGCCCTTGGTAAAGGTAGCCGGGTGACTGGTCTTTGCCTTATGGTGAGCGATCACTGAATCTCTTATTTGGTTTTATGTCCTTGTGAATGCTGATACATGGGCTCTGTGACCCCGGGGCCGAGCTGGCACACACAGGGTAATCTAGACAGCCTGTCTGCCTCTCGGGGTTTCAGGAGGGAAATGTGGTTCACTGTGTCTGGGTGCCACAGCCTGTGCTCTCACAGCGTCCGTGTCATCAAGGCTCCCTTGTGCAGATAGGCAGGGCACGGGTCCAAGCGAGCCATCTGGGAATCCTAATGGAGTGTTATCAGTGGAAAATAGAGGCCAGAGCCTGAAACACATCAGCACCATTTGCAGACACACCAAATATTATTTTTTCGTCCATTCCAGGCGACACTCACCTGGGTGCTCTTTTAAAACCCAATTATATTAAAAAACAAAAATTCCCCAATACATTTTGAGGTGAGTACTCAACTCAAAAAATAGCCACTATGCTTTGAGCTTTAAGGAGAGATCCTTTGGCCTTTAAAATAATGTTTAAAGGCTC